GCGGGCAGGATGACTTCATGCGCTGCGAATTTAGGAGCAGCGGCAGCAGCTGCCGCCGGCGGCGGCGGGATGTGGGGGTGAAGTGACAGCGGGAGCCGCCGAAGGAAGGAGGAGGGAGCGAGCAGGGGGCGGGCAGCGACGCCGGGCGCCCCGCGCCGCTCCGCCCCGCCGAGCGCAGCGCCGCGGCCCCCACCAGCGGCCGCTGCGGGAGCGAGCGAGCGAGGCAGGGAAGGAAGGAGGCTGCAGGATGCGCTGAGCCGCTCGCTGGAAAGGTGAGCGGGCGGGGAGGGGGGTCTGCGGCTTCCCCGAGAGCCCGAGCGCGGCGCCGCAGCGCGTCCTTGCGCGCCCCGCTGCCAGGACGCGCCGCGGAGGAGCCTCGCGAGGGCTCAGCGGCCCCGCGGCGGCCGGGAGCGGGCRGCAGGTGCCGCGGGAGGCGCCCTGGGGCAGGCGGAGGGGCCCGGGGAGCCCCCCGAGGGGCAGGGGGGGTCTCGCCTCCGCGTCGCCCCCGCGAGCCCCTTGCGAGGAAGCTGGAGGGAGCGCAGAAGTTGGAGAGCAGATCCCGCACCAAAATGGAGTCTCCTGGTTCTCCGGAGGCTTCTGATCGCGTCCTTCTTTCCCCCTTGCTATCTGGCGTGGTAATGCTTGGGACAGAGCAGAATCAAAATGCCTGCGTTTGGTAAATCGAGGAATGCTCATCCTACAGGCTTTGGAAGTGAAAAAAAACCAAAAACGAGCATGCAGCATAGCAGCTTGGCCCATGGTACTGCACCATGTCTGTGGTACATAACGCTGGGCTTGCCATTACGTGAGGAGTCTCAGAATTGAGCAAAGGGAGGGAAAAAAAAAACCCCTCTCTCCTCCTCCCTTCCTCCTTCCCCCTGGCTCCGCTCTGCCCAAAAGCAGCGTGTTCCGGAGGAGACATGTCAGTGCAAGAGACTAGGCTGGCGTGCATGGGCACATCATTGCAACGAGAATTATCCATAGGTGCTAGTGGTTAATTGCTGCATCTAGTTTGGTTTGGAAGAGGAAGCAGTTATTGCATCTCTGGGAAGAAAAGGATTGGGTATTAATCTGTTATTAATGGAGAAAGGAAGTGGAATAATAAGAATTGGAAGTTTTTCTATATATCTTATTTGCTTAGATGACCAAATTTTGGGAGGATCCTATTATTCTGTGTCTTTAGAAAGCTGCTAGCACAGTGGTGGGACCCTAATTCTGACTGCAGGTGGTTGAAGGTCGACTGGCCACTGGCCATGACCCTGCCCAGTGATAAAATAGAGCCTACCGAGGTAACAGGAGATTGCTTGGACCGCTGTTGTTTTCTTCAGGACGATGTTTAATTATGTGCCTTTGCCTCAGAACTATTGCTGAGTAAGCAGGAGGTAAAAGATAGGACGAGAAATAAGTCTTCTCAAAGCTGAAATCAAGTGAGTAGTGAATTGCTAAGTCAAAGGTCAGTTCAGCAGATGCATCTTAGCTCTGAAGARGTGAGAATAAATCCATATATGTTTAGCCCTTTAAAGTGCTCTGTGGCATGTCCTGTGTATGTGTCTCRGGCCAGAAAAAGTAGCGTCTCTTTCTATCAAAACTACATCTTTCTTTTCACAAAAACTTAGTTTGTTCTGGTAAAACACTTAGGAGTCTTAGTTGTGATATTTCTCCTAGGCCTTTTTTTCCCTCTTTTTTTGGAACTAATGAAGAGCATGGCTGGCTGTTTCAGCTGCTGTTGCAGTGTTGTAGTCATGTGTTGATTTTCCCTMTAATTGTCCCTCTCTGGAAAAGAAAAGAAACCATGTAGCTGAGCTCAGACACTTCATATTAGTCCATCCAATCTATAAATTACAATCTGTTTCTTTGCTGAAGGGAGTTTATTGAAATATTCTCTTATTTGTTGTTGTAAATGTAGCATAGTATGAGTAATTGTTAATACTGATGCATCATTGGTATAGTAAATATAGCTGTTCGTGCTTCCTAGGAAATCTAAATAATGTTTTAAAAGAATGTTCATTTTTTTTAGCAATGGTGGTAGCAGAATGGAAAGAATAGCTGATGAAGAGTTGTACATTATCATATATGTGAATGTACATCTGGTGTTTGCTTTTTTTTTTCTCCAAACAAAACTTGTATCACTTTTGTTTGTATCTTTTGTGTCCTTCAAACATAGGTGCTCTAAATGTGTAAAATGCATGGATGTACACATGCCTGTGTGTGTCCATAGAGAAAAACAGTTGTAATTATCACCTTGAACTTAGTTTTGAGCAGTGTAACTCGTAAAAATCTACTCTATAAACTTCTCCTACAGATCCATGCTTTCTCCTTCTGTTACAGTAACTTCCCTATCTCTGCCAAGCAAGGAAAAAAACCCTTTGTTGTGGCTAATCTGGGACAGCAGCCTTGCTGGCTGGACGAGCAGCCGAGTTGACCAGCTGGCTGATGCCAGACAGACTGGGTAGCAGCTGAGATCTAGCTGCTTTTTCCTCGGAGGGTCTGCTGTTTTGGATCCCTTCATCTGGGTTAGTTGCACAAATTTGTAGAAGCTTAATTATCTTGGAGATTTCTGGGCCACTGTCAGCCTTTGAAACAGCAGGTTCATTTGACCAAATTTATGAGTGGGGGACAGATGGACATGTTTGCGTAAGGCATGTTTACTTAGGAGACCCAACAGAAAAACACCAATAACCTTGAATGCACTTGAAGCTACAGAGGTTTGATTTCACTTTTACTCCTTTCTGAGAGCTGAAATGAAACAATTCAGTTYATATTTATATATAAATGTTCAAAGCTGGTGTCTCTAAGTGCTGTTTGAATGAAGTAACCATGTCCCAGAGCAAGCATTTATTTTTTTAAGTTATGTTGTTACTAGATTTTGGGGATTATTTTCCCTTGTTTATTAATTCCTCTGAGAGATTAGGATACAAATAAATAAATAAAAAAATAAAAGTTATGAACTAGGTGTGAGTGGTCAGATATTTAAAAAAAAAAAAAAAAGGCTGAATATATACTGTAGATTTAGGACTATGTACCKTAATGTGTGCAAATGCTAAATCAAGAGTTTATCTTAACATGAATGGAACCATCTTTTCTTCACAAAAGAAACCTGTATTAAAGGACACGCACTTGGGAAGCAGTAACTTAAATTTCTAGATAACAGAGTGAAAACTTTTGAATGCCACATATCAACTTAAATTTCTTCTCCTGCTGTGTAAGTGCATTTTCTGTTAGAATCTTTAATTATTTTCAATAGAAGATCTTAACGCAAGTGGTCAGTCAGCTACAAAGGTAGTTAGTACTAACCAAGAGAGCAGAAGTAAGAGGAGTTGTTGTTCCCACCATCGATGTACTATCATTGATGTACACATGGGCCTTGAACGCTTTTGCATATGCGCCTAGTCAAGTCCATGCTGTACAACTTCGATGCTGAGGGCCAGAATTTATTATCTGAAGTACAGGGAAATTAATACAGTCTTCATGTATGCTTTTTGTGAAAGCACGTTGATTTAAGCATTTTCCTTAGAGCTGTATGTGATAGCAGCATGTTTAATTTTTAGCATAAGCAGCAATCAGCTTAATTTTACTAATTTCATGATGAAACAAGGCACTAGTTTGGGGAAGATCTCATTATATATTCTTATGTAATGACCTAATAAAAGAGATGATCTTTTTTGTATAAGAACTTTATGCTCCTGCTATCTATCTCTGTCATTACATATGAACATATTAGGAAAGGTAAGACAAAGTGGAGTCTCAGACAGGAGAATGAATACAAATGTCCCAACCAAATGCCAGATCAAATAATTTTTCATCCCTTAGTTCTTACAGTAGAATCAATAAAATATGACAGTGCTTTTTTTTTTTTTCTCTAAAACATACTGAAAAAGCCACTCTGCTTCTGAGGTGACTATATATTTTTATGGTGGTACCGTGATTCTAAGGCATTAATATCCCACTTCACTGGGTCAACTAAATATAAAGCTTTTTTTAATCCCAACTGCCTGGAGTAACTGCAGAGGAAAGTTTCAAGTCACCCAGGTTGTACATTCCTATATCAGATTTTTTTTTTTTAACTTGTATTAAAATGAATTTTAAAATTGACTATGTTATTTTTTTGGCTTTGCAGAGCTGATGGATAATTTAACCTATACCTTTTCAGGAGTATTTCAAAGCAGGTGACTAGTCTTTGTAGAGATGTGTATCCATTTCTGCACTAATGCCCCAGAAGCAATAGGCAAATAGCTTAAACTCTGATATATGAACTTTGCTTCTCTTATCTGACTGCATCTTTTGTGCCACTTCTTTGTTCTAGCAGTTATTCCAAAAGATTCAAAACAGTAACAAAGTTACTTTGGCAAACTGTTAGCTAGCCTATAAAATATTCTGCATAAAATACATTTTTCTAATATATATATCTCTATACGCTATATATATGTATATTTTTTCTAAATATTCCCTCGTTTGCCTGTGTACCTCCTACAGAATTTCCATTTACACATATGGCGAGCGCATAACTGGTGAAATGATCCTACCACCTGTTGTTTTAAAATAGCACAGATGCTTATTAATGGTCCTTCCATGATGCTGTTTATAGTACATGTTAAGCCTCCCTTAAAATGCTGTGGATCATATTGGTAAAGGATATTATTACTTCAGCAGCAGCTTCAGAAATGTTTTCATCATCTCTGCCTAATTGTTGATTGCTCAACAGAGAGAGGTAGGAGGGAGGCAAACTTCATTGTCTAGCCTGGACAAAGCAGAACTTTAAATGCATTTCTGCTTTAAAATCACCTAACCACAGATGGACCAAGTAAGACTCATCATATTCATGACAGTTCCTATTCACTTTCACTTCATTGAGATTGTATATTTAGGAGAGTGATTAGGGAAAACACATTGTTGCTTTCAAACTTCCCAGGGAACTTGCTGGAGGCACAGGATGTTCTTGGTATTAAGATGTTGCTAGTGAATTCCAAGAAAAGATTATTATGCACTGAAAAAAATATATTACAAAATAGGAACAAAGGATACATCTTATTTTTAAATTTAGCAAAAGCTCTTAGGAACTATTAGTGCGAGTTTCATTTTTTGGAAAGCTAATAGAATACAGCAGATATGGAGACCTTTTCYTTTTTTTTACCCCCGTGACAATTTGGCAGTTGCATTGACTGGTTGGGCTTAATACAACAGGTAAATAGAAAGCAGTTGTTAACAGTAGAACACTGACTGTCAGCTGTCAGCTTATTCTCTATGGGATGAGCATAAATCTTTTCCTATTTGG